TAAAAAAAGGGCAGCCCGGTGCATGTAGCTCCTGCTTGCGCAGGGTCCGGGGAAGGGTCCGACCATTTTGGGTCTATAGTACGCAGCCTTTCCCTACATTTCTATAAGAGGTTGTTTCCAGGATTTGAACCCGTGACTCATGGTCACAAGGCAGCAGCTTTACCACTTCGCCAAGGCTCCCCTTTTTCTTATCTGATAAAATACCCCTGAAATAATCCTGTCATGCAAAGTAAGCTTTATAAACAGCTCATAATCAAATAGTAATACAATCTGCATGTGCTGATACGATGCTTACATTCAAGAGGCTTGTTGATGTACGGGCATCAACAACACTGAAAGGGTCATCCCTAATAATACCATGAAATCCATTGAATCAAGCTAGAAGACATAACACTCCACAAGCTATATTAACCACTATACAAATGTCTAGTCCAGTGACAGAAATACCCAAAGAACCGGAAGAGGATAGTAGAGGAAGTGTTACAGAGGCATTGCAGAACCATTACGGTCCAGTTAATATGAAGAACCACTGCTCACTTAACTACTGATTCCCACAAATGTGAATCAACTGATGATCCAAATGGAAATTTGAAAACGAAGTACTGAAACAGTTCAAGTCGGCAAGCATCATAATAATCACAAATCAGACAACAACATACACTAGATTTTCTTTTTCAGTTCTTGAAAAGCAAACACCAGGGTCCTTGCGCCAAGCAGCATCAGGGCTTCTGTGATTCATTAAAGATTCATTAACATCGGAGTTGCTGTGCCGCAGTTCATTCAGAAGGAAACAACCACGTTTGACTCATCGGCTTGCCATCTGGTGCCTGAAAGTTGCACTCTGATAAATCTGCAGCAAATGGCGCAAATGTACCATCGCTCAAGTTGTACATGAACTTATCAAACGGGGGACCATTTTTAGCATGGCAGAGATAGCCATCGATGAAGTAGATAACATTGCCTTCCACCCCGTCATACTCCGACGCATCAAACGATTTGCTGCTGCACGGGCTGATGAAGATACAGTCGCCATCCAAGGTGTTAATCTCAGTGAATTGAAGAGGTTTAGTGCTTAAATCCACCATATATACTCCAACCTTGCAAATATCGTGCCAGCCTTCACCGCCACCTAAGTGTCTGGCGATGAGCAACAATTTTCCATGCCATTCTACCAAGTTCCACCTCTGTGTGTAGCTACCCTTGATCTCAGGCCGCTCGGCCACGCAACGCTCGACACGAGAAACCATCAGCCCAGAGTCGTCGTCATCTGCTGTCTCAACGACAAAGAGGTTTGTGGTGAGCTCGCTGAGCACATAAATCTTGCCCTGGTAGAAGGTAATGTCACTGAACTTGCTGATGCAGCCACCAAGGCACACGCACCACGACGTCATCCCGGGCCGCCAGAGAGCGAGCTTGGCTCCGTTCCTATGCACAGAGAAGGCAGCCACAATGCATTTGGACCCAGAATCAGGCGAGGAGGACAAGATCACCTTGCAGAACGACATCACGTACTGAGCGGCGTTGATTGTGCACTCAAGCACACCAGAGCCGCCGATGATGGGGAGGGATCTACTGTAGGCGTCGACGAAATGAGAGGACGCGGAGGGAGGCGGGAGACGGAGCACGTCCCGGGAGAAAGGGTTCATCAGGAAGCACTCAGCATCGCCAAAGTAGCGACCTTTGTTCGGCCGCACGCCGGCGAGCCACCCCTCGAACGAGCCCACGCACCGGACGTCGTCGGCCGCCACTCCCACGGGCAGCGGGACGCGACGCGTGCCCGTCGTGGCCCCGTCGGGGGAGAAGCTGGAGAAGGCGAAGTCCGCGTGGACGAGCAGGGGGAGCGGCGGCGGCGGCGGGCGGTGGAGGCGCGCCGCCGCGCGCCAGGCGGCGCAGACGGAGCGCATCCTGGCGCGGTCCTCGACGCAGGGGAGGCGGCCGGCCACGATCCCGAGGATGTCCAGCGGGACGTCCGCCCAAGACCGCCGCTGCGGCTCGGGAGCTGCGACGACGAGCCCTGGCGTGTCAGGAGGCATTTCGTCGAGCACCTTGCCTGCACGGCCGCCAGCGACGACGGAAACGTGTGGAGACAGGGAGGGAGGGCTCTGGCCTGAGGCCCCTGTGCCGGATGGTGTGGCCGTCGGTGGTCGCCTTGGGGAGGTCGGCGTGTCTTGCGACATTGGAGTTTGTGTCACGACCGGAGTTCCTTCCATTGATACAGGAGAAGGAAGGAGAAGGTGTAGGCGAGATGCAGAGAGTTCAGAGTCAATTTCTTCGCACCCCACACGATGGCCAACAGTGCCTCTTATATAGTAGGAGTACCTCTCACGCAACCCACGCTAACAGGTGGGCCCCCAGTCTCAACCCCAGCTCATAGAGCCCTCTTGATTTTACTCCCTCCGTCCCATCATATAAGACGTTTTTCTACACTAGTGTAATGTCAAAAAACGTTTTATATTGTAAGACGGAGGAAGTATTTTTCTTTGTTTTTGTTAAGAGGATGCCACTCTTTACTGTAAAGATCACAAAATATCATTACAATGAGTTTTCCGATACAATCCGGAGTTACGTTACACAAGATAGAATCTCCAGAAGACAAACATTGGGCCGCACGACGTTTGACAAACAACTCATAACATGACCAAACGAACCAAACAAAAAATTGCCCACCAAAATCTTGTGTCGGTGACTACCGTTCCAATGTTCCAATGTACGAACGATCTATTGTCTAAGAAAAAAAAATCTCTGAAGGGTTTACAGAGTCGTCTACATTGTGAATCATGTTGGTGCTCGCCCGTTCTGCCAGTTGGGCCTGGCTTCGCTTGCCTGTCCGCCAACTGGATTCCTGGGGACAGGCGACTTGATGTCCGTCATCATCATTGATGATGGTGAGGGCGTGGCATTCGTCACCTCTTGAGACATTTCCTCGATCCAGAGTGGCGTCGCTAAAAAGGGACGACAGGCCATGTAGTAGTCCTTCTAGGTGGTTGCCTCGCCGGAAGGTAACCCCATTTGATCAACACTTGAAGAGAAGACGTCGATCCCGGGTGGAAAAGTCGGCGTTGTCGGATCGCCATCGGTAATTTGTCGCAGCTAAATAAATCCGATAGAGGGAGATCTTTAAAGACCGGGAATTAACCTACAATAAATGGTTTCAATTGGAAAGCATGAAAAACTGGGTGCACCTGTACAATAGATGGTAAATACACGAGGTACGCCACTTCACCAATGCGCTCCAGAATTGTGAAATGCTTGAGCTATCTGTAAGATAGCTTGCGACATTGTCGATTGACCTTTCAGAAGAATTTGCTCCCCAACAACAAACAATCATTTTGTACACTTTCTACCAGCTTGAGCTTTCATCCGAGCTTGCACCTTGAAGAGGTGTGCTTTCATCAAGTTGATGTGCGGCTGGTAATCCGCTAATCTTTCAGCTACTAATGACATTTCATTGACAGTGATGTTTGGCATACCTCCAAAGTTTGGCTCTCTTTTGTATAAAGCTTGGAATGTGAACCACCCAAAGCATTTTGTGGTGATTGGTGTTATACCAGAACTTGACCATGGTTAATGTCTTGGTAAATTCCCAACAACACCCATTTCAATATGGCGAATGCGTAAGAGATCCGGATGGTGCACACGAGAACGATTTACGCAGGTCCAGGCCCTCGGGTCGATGTAATACCCTACTACCTGGTTGTTGTATTGCTGGTCTAGCATCGTATGAGAACTAGGTTTTTGTGTTTACAAGGGGGTTGATATCAATATCGTCTCGGGGCTGAAGCCTCACATGTCTTGATAGAATAAGGTGCTAGGCATTGCAGGCCTTGCCATATTTGGGTGGGATCTTACACAATGATGGCTTTGGCTACATGCATGTTGGATAAACTCGCAACTTCCTTATGAAGAGACAGATGTGTCCCCATTTAGGGCTTCCACGGCGATCTCCTGCATCGATTGAAAAGATGCTTCTTTATAGCATGACAACTTGACCCATGACGACCCTTCACTGTCGTTGTCCACATATTTTCGGTGTTCCATCACGTAAGGATAATACGGTTCGCAATAAACTACACAACTGGATTCACTCAGTGCACATTTTAACAGGCCAAAACATGTATGGTAGCTCACTGACTTGGTATCCATCATCAGTTCAGTGGCCCTAGACCCCCGAAGGGCAGACTCCGTCACCAGGCTCTTGAATGAGTGGAGGAAACTTCCAGGGATGGTCCTGAGATTTCGAGGGCCCATGGAGAAACTAGAACCCAAGCCCTTATAATATAAATATCAAAATAATAATCAATGTATTTGTAACAACCCAGATGCTGATAAGGACCCAAATATATGTGCTCGTACCTGAACCAATCCCTTGCACGTGACGCCCCACCACGTGCCACACCCATGCCCAGGCCTCCGAAGCTTACACCATGCACTTCCCCACCGGCGATAGTCGAGGCGACATGCATGCCATGGCCCTCGTTGTCTCTGGGAGACTTGTAGTTACTCTGTAGCACCTCATCACTGATGCCACAGCCATACCACCGCACACCGATGATCTTTCAGCTGCAAGTTGCCGCGTTGAACTCCTGGCTTGTCTAGCATTTCCGTTTCCACCGTGCCAATATAGGGCCGTACCCGTTGTCATCAAAGCTTGGTAATTCAGGCCATATGCATATAGAGAAGCATACATATGCATGGATTTTAAGATTGAGGGTTTCTCATGCATATAGGATTTCTGATGTTTTGTATTTAAGCTTGAGGGTGGGATTGCCAACCTAAGTCAATCACCCCGACGATGACATCTTCACCGTACTTTTCTCTTTTGAGGAGTGCGGCCGGTTGTTGCGGTGGTTGGTTATGGTCCAGGCCAAGGAAGTCCCAGCTCCGAGTTGTGTGCGGTTGGTGAAAAGTGTTAGGCTTCACAATGACAACTTTAGGAAATTCTACATTTTGAGAATATGTTTATTAGCTTCTGCCAACCGTGCAAGTAGGTATGAAGATAGCCGGGCCTAGGCTTGACAATTACTTGCAATTGCCTCAGCTTGAGATTCAGTGAGCATCGCCGCGAACCCAGAAAATCCATGCTTGTAACTATAAAGAATCGGTCTCAAGGCTTCATCCCTTCTGTTGCAAGTAAAATAAAAGTTGAGCAAATCACAATTATTTCTTGCTAATATGTCTATGATGCGGCATGAACTCGTGGCTAGTAGTGCCTCTCGAAAACAGTTGTTAGTATGTCATGGTGTGTCGTGATGACCACGGACGGGTCAACATGCTTCTTCTCCCCCCATATACACGATGTAGAGCCGAAACCCATACTGTCTCATAAGTTTTCAACAAACAGTTAATATCTCAGCAAGTGGAGATAATTTATTTTTAGGACAGTAAAACTGAGCCTAATCCCTGCCCTCACAACATTTCACGTTTTTGGCCGTTCGTTTTGCTGATCTAGACGTTTCTGGCCGTTAGATCCGCTGCCCTAATAGGCTGCTGCTCCGGAAGAAAAAACTGAGCTCTCTGGTAAACCGGGCCGATCGTGCCGACGCGTCGTCGGGTTGATGATCCACCCGTCAGGCGATCCGCATGCGAGGATCTATGGTGACACCTCGTGTTCATGGCAGCTTCAGGCGACATTGACATCCCACCTCCCATAGCGGCGCGTACTTGCCGTCCTCTTCTCTCTTCTCTCGCCGCCACTTGTGCGTAGTGACGTGGTTGCAGTCTACGGAGCAAACAGCTGAGCGGAAACATTAGCTTCAGATGGAGTTTGTAAAAGAAGTGGATTTTGGTGATTGAGTTGTGGTGTTCTGAATACAGAGTTTATCTCGCCAAAACTATGGTGTGCCCGGAGAAGAAGAGCCACTCCAAGGTGATTATGTGCAGCCTCTCCATGGTGCTCATGCAAGTCAACTGTCATGTTTTTTTGTAGGGTGTAACAGCATTGATATATTGGTGCAAGCCGTTACTCTATGCCACTTTATTGGGGTTTACTCGCATTATATGTGTCATTAGCTTATTTACTCGCTCTATGCCACTTCTATCTTAGAGTGTTAATTCATATCCTTGTCCCTTTATCTTCACAAACATGTTCTTGAATTTTTGAGAAAAATCAAGTTGTTGTTGTTGTTGTTGTAAAAATGCGGTATACGGCATAGCATCAGTGTATTTGGGCAGTCTGGTTGAAGCATTTTGAACACAACAGATGTTGATACAACGATGGGGAATTTGACAAACGTATTTGGATGATGTGATGGATATAGGGCTAGTTTGGTTGGAGTCCACAGCTCCGTGCCTGGGAAAAAGTTGAGCCTGGCTTCGGCCTGAAAATTTGAAAAAAGGTGCCTGGCCAGGCTAGCCTGGTTGGCGTGTTTGGATGGAGTCCCGAGCCAGGCCAGCAATAATTTAAGTTGTCATCCATAAAAAACTGTTGACCCATCACTTCATCAAGTAGCAACTGATGAAAAGTGGATTCTAGCATCCCAGGCAACCCCCAGGCGACCACTTTTGAGCGCCTGGGCCAGGCTAATGACCCTGCCTGGTACTCCAGCCAGGCTAATTATCATGGCATGCTCCAGGCCAGGCTTATTCAGGACACCAAGCAAACAACCTTCAGGCAGATCCCAGGCAAGGTCCAGGCCAGGCAAATTTCTGCGAGGCCTCCAACCAAACTGGCCCATAGTTTTCGAAAGCCATATGCCTTCTTCAATACAAAATTACCATTAACTTGGACCGCCTTGAAGACTTGCTGATTCTTCTTGCTTGAAATTTCAGGAATTAATTCAGCACCTAAAGCATTGTTTACCACATAGGGTAGCTCCAACAACATACTAAGAGAGCCTTCTTTCCATTGCTTTCTGTCGCCCTTTTCAATCGGCCATATTGTTTTCATACCAAATACAACTTGGGATGTTATTTTTTGTTTGGGCCAGATGCTAAAAACTTGCACGTATCCGCCCGAACAATAGTTTCCTTTCATTGTTGGAGATCTTTATCTTAATAAAGATGCAAAGACATTCAAGGTTAGTTATATCTGGTTTGCTCGGTCAAACTACATTTTATTTCCATGTTGCCATCTATAATTGTCCTCTTGGCATAGACAACTCCTTCAAGTAAATAATATTTGCATTAGAATTCTGGTGCCTGCTTTCAGATCTGATCATCTGATTCTCTAATTTAGTTGTGGTTTCATGATGTTGCCTTAGACGGTTGGACTATATCCTACTTAGTATCTTGACATAATTTTGGGTCTGCTCTGACCGTCTTGATTACATATTTATCTGCATCACCATGGCTCACCAATAGACGAGTCTGAGCTATTATTGTTGAAGTGTTTTATTTACAAATGAAATGTCAGTCATGCATGTAAAAAGAATACATAAAAAGAGACACGAAGATGTTGAGTGCTTTTGAGGTTATTGTTTAGCAGTGCTTGAACACATTCAGACTGTTATTTCTTAACACATTCTTCAATCTTTTTGCCGCACAATTTGGGAATGTAATACCCAGGGTCCTCGCTATCTGATTCATGAAAACTGTTCTTAATGGACATGAGTGGTTTCCATAAACACTCAGACCTATTTCAATACAGGTTGCTACGGCATATCTAATTCCAACTGGAACTGGTAGTAAATTGCAAGGTTGCATAGATCAAATACATCTTATACGTACATAGCATCAATGAAAGACCAAAGTTGGAATCGGGTCTCTTCCTATTGTGGTATACCTTTGATGATATACATTTCCAATAGAAGATTTCAACTCAATTACCATTTTTTTAGAACCTTCTTTAGTTACCAATGCAAATTTTTCTTAGCATGGCCTTTGATACTTCATGTTCACATATTATATTGTCAAAATAGATGGGCGCGGCAACGCGCGCCATCAGCGATCTAGTCTGGAAAGAAAGCAGATAGAAAGAGGACTCATGTATGCATCTTCTTTGCTCGACGCGTTAGCTGAAAGAGGCATCAGTGCCACCAGTAGCAGGACACCGCATAATGCTGTTCTAGAATCCATGTCCGGTATGGGGGGAAGAGTGCTATGTTCTGTTGTGTTCCCTGGCTTGTGTGTATATATCAGCCATGATCAAACATGGAGGTACAAGAATATTTTAAACGAATTTGCCGTCTGCGTGTGTTTTTTCTTTTCCAGGGATTATTCATTCATTTATTTGCATGTGTTGTTAGGTCACACACTTGAGGAAGTAAGGCTGGATCTCCTTGACTTCTAGGAAGCATTTTTTTTATAGAAATGAAAGTGGTTTTTCTAATCTTTTTTTGTGGGAAAGGTTTTTCTAATCTTTTTAATCTAAATAGCTAGCGCAACTAACTATTTCTTTTAACATGTAAGCGTGCCACAACATGCAAAATGTATGAAAAAGGCCCAGCGTAACATGCAATCACACATAGAAAAAAGATCATCACAATGTAAACATGCATGATAATTTTCACACTATTACACTATTTATATTTAATTAATACTTTACAACTGCACAATAATCAATCATAATAAGTAATAAGTATTTTCATTTTCAACTCTTATACCATTACTTAAAATATTCATGTTCCATACAACAAAATCTCGTTAAAATTTCTGTAACAACATGTGAGCTATCGTCTAGTATTATAATGAAGAAACATCGTGCATTGATCAGGTCCGCCAGGATTAATGAACTAGCACCAAACATGATATATATAAATGTTCATTTTGGTATCTGGCCTAGGGAACTGATCAAATTTCAAACAAGCATCCGAGACTCGTCACTAGTTACGCACAATACCGGGTAGGCGGCTTGGACGCATGCCTGGACATATTCTTTCTGGAACTCTTCGCAAGAAAAAACTTATTAGAACTTTCTATAAAAATGCGGCGCTTGGTGGCACGTAACAGAAAACTTGACTAACGTGAAGGGAGTTGGTAGGCACATTCAAAATATTCAATGGTTAAAGATTGGTGTGGCCGACACGTTTCTCCAATTGGTAAACTATATAAATCCTGTCATAATCAATATTTCCTTTGTAAAGAAATATAAGAGCGTTTAGATCATTATTATTAAAGTTAACCAGAAGTAAAAAACATAATGAACATAATAGAATTTATATCAAGGTTCCTGGACCATCGAACACCAACTACCTCCGCTAGAACAAGCCTCTCACACAATCACTGTTGTCGCTCCCCGGCCGGAGCCGGCCTGACCTTATCGACGATAGCCGGGCAGGATTCGTACACATGCCTCTATGGACCAGCGCCTCATAGCCGTAGTAGTTGGACCTTTGAATTGATCTAAAGAGCCTGATACCAAATCTCGCCATGGTGCATGCACGTCGAGAAATTTTAACCTCCCTGCCCCAAGGAGATGATAGAAATCTATGTCGGAGCTTCGTCGACTATACCCCGATGTACCGGCTAGAGGATGATCAAATCTCGGAAGACCAACTCGAAGATGAAGTGTCACCATCCGCCCGGGCACCGCCCTTGCGATGAATAAAAATCCTAACCTAAAATACTAGCCAGAGCCAAGGCACCGGTATTCTCCTCCCTACCACGGGCCATCGAAGCGACATGACATGCGGAGGAGAGGTCATTGTGGCACCCCGACCAGTGTCGGACAGATGCATGCACAAGCCGCCCAGAACAGGTCCAGGTTCTGGCACACGCCAGATGCTCGATACAAAATTCCAAACATGATTTTATTAATAATACAGAGTATACAACATAATTGCATATGACTATGGGCGTGTTCTGGAGCCCTCCAGAGCCATGAAATCCATGACCCCATAGCGAGCAGCTAGCTTCTCGCCTAAAATCCTGGAGCGAGCTAACCTTTCGGTTCACTAGCTTCTGCCCCAGAGGTCAAATCGAGGTTGTTCTGCACTCTCACCTTCAGAGAAATAGACGAGGTACTCGAGGAGGCAGAGGAGCTCGCGGACAAGCTCATCGATGCAGCCTGCGTGCTCCGGTGGTTGGGGACGGCGGGGTCGATCTCCGGCCGGGGACTGCTTAAGAACTCCGGTCGGGACGATGGGGAAGAGCTCTGGTCGTGGATGGCGGGGAAGAGCTCCGGTCGAGAGGGAGGCGGAGGAGGGTGAGCACGGTGGTGGGAGGGCGGCCGTCGGTTCCCATGCCGGTTGGGTGCTCGTGGTGGCGCGCTAGGGTTCGTCGCGGGGTGGAGGGAAACGAGCGTGCAATGGATCGAGTCGAGGGAGGAGACGAGCACTGCCTCGAAGCGGTACCTATGGTCGCTTCGCGGTGGCAATCAGTTGTAAATTCAGCAACTCTCACTTTCCAGCTTTTGTGGAGCTCGAGTTTTCCAACTCCTCAACTCCAGCAAATTTGCACGTAGCGAATCGCTAGCTTCTCGCTCCATAGCCATGATTTAGACTGTTCGGCTCGGGTCCTGACCTGTAGTCAAGGAGTCGAGGACCTGGAGGGCTACCGAACACGCTCTATGGTGTATAATCCCACAATATAACAAAACGGAAGTGGAAGACTACGTCCGGAGATGTTAGTGGCTTGGCTGGGCTTCACAACTCCCAAGACTGGCTGGGGCGGCGGTCTAGCTTGCTAATCATCTTCTGAATCTTGCCATGTGCAAGACCAGGTAAGTACTTTGAATGTACTCGCAAGATAGTCAAATACATAGCATCCAAACAAACAAGTAACAAAGTAATAACTAAACTTAAACACAAAATTACTCTACAGTAACAACTGAGCATGGCATTACTATAACAATATCCATCAATACATACACACCAACGTACCTACCACTAGGCTAGAGAGTAACTACACTTACCTTCCATGGCGACTAACAATACATGAGTTGTTCCATCAATCAATTCATTGCCCCTTTTGGGTGACCACATGATTTACCGAGACTCCTTCTCGTGACCATGTCAGAACAACACCGTGACCTCTTCAGGCCATCAGAATCCAACTTACTACAACAACTACGTAACCAAACAATCCAAGTGCTATCACTAAAGTCATTCCCCAACTTCGATCATTACTAATACTAAAGTCAGCATAATCCAAATGATCGTAATCCAATTCATCGCAATCCAAGTGGCCTTATAGTAAAGTCAGCATAATCCACTTGGCCATACAACTCGTTGCAAACCAAATCCAAATACTCTTCAAGTTACCAATTATAATTAAGTGAATTATTTCATTAGTGAAACCGTGTGTTAGTTTGTTCTTATCGAGAAGCCAAATAGTGACTTAAACAAGACTTTTCCTTAACTGTGAAAGCGGCTATTCGAACAGATTTGACACTCTGCAGAGCTTGTACACTTTTTCCATAACATGGACAACACATCCAGCAAACCCTGTCTTATTTTTTGGTTGCTTTACATGTTAGTTTTTTTAGATGAACGTTACATGTTAGTTTGTCCTAAAAGTGGCAACTTCCCAGCTGGTGGCCTGGGTTTGTAACCCAGTTGTGTGATTCTTTCTCTTGGGTGCATTTAGAAACCTCTTCATGAAGAAAGAGAGTTATGGGAGTTTTAGATCCGTTACTGTCCCTGAGTCTATTCTTCTCATTAATTGCAACTTTTGTAAAAGTTTGAGAAAAGAACCATCGTTTTGTAAAGAAGAATCATACTGTATTATTTAAGTAGAACATTTCCTATATGATGTACAAATTTTATACTCTGCGTTTCCCCTCCATATTTTGTGTGAACTACATAAATAAATACAAAAGGTGTGATAACTACATGTAAGTTTAGGACGTGTCCGCAACAAAGTCTTGTATCACAGTTCGTACCGCAACAGGAATTCTCACTGAGCGGGTACTTCCGTCTGACCATGTCAAGCTCCCAAAAGTGTATCCTCCTTGCACTCTCTGCCTTGTTGTGAATGTCACCATAAATGTCGCGCTTCTACTGTTGCCTTGGGTGAAACTGATCACAGATGGTTCCACCGACACATCTATCCCCGCTGGAGCTTCAACCACTAAATGATATGTTGCTTCTGCTGGCCCAACGTTAGTCACAGTGCGCCTAAGAATGACATGGCCCTTAAGGTCTGGCACAGTGATTGACGGGAGGTTGAGGTTAAGATTGTAGGACTTGCAACCGTCTGATAATCCTTGGGTGCAGTTCAAGAACTTGTTGTACTCCCTTGCGTCAAGGTCATAAACCAGGCCAGGGTCAACAGCTCTGTCAGGGTCCATATGGCCACCGCCAAAGTCGAAAGGGTCGGCTAGTTTCCTTGGGACTCCGTTTGCTTGGATCGGCATACCAAACTGATCGGTCACAGATGCTGCAACCAATGCCAAGGAAGTTTATTAAGTTAGTTTTATATTGTGATGAGTTGCATATTTTTTGGTATTTCTATGTTCATACCCGTGGTGACAATGGCAGACTTGATCATGGCAGGTGACCAGTTAGGGTGAACTGACTTGAGCAACGCCGTCACCGCAGAGACATGTGGGCATGCCATGGATGTCCCAGAATGGAACACGTAGGAGTCACGCTCCGCTGCCAAGATGCCGACGCCAGGTGCAGCAATGTCGGGCTGTTGAAACATGTATATTGAAAATTAGGTATGCAAGTCTTGAGTTCAAAACCTAGAGAGGTTAGGAAAATTTTAACTACAAGTCCCAAGCTAAGTAGCTGATAATGATATACCTTGAGTATGCGAGGGAAAGCAAGGCTCGGGCCTCTTGACGAGAATGAGGCGACATACGGTGACAACACCCCATTTCCAACAACGCTTACAGCTGGCGATATCTTCACCACCGGACTCCTAGCATAACACACATGACAACCGACATGAATTTTCCATTGCATAATTAAGGAGAAGGCACATATACTCTCAAAACAATGTGACAGATTCTTACTCAGTCATTTTTGAGTAGGAGGCGATTCTTTGTGCGATCTCGAAATCCACCAGTGCACAAGACATAAATCCCTCGCAGCTGGTCAGGATTTCGAGAAGGTTGACAGTGTATTGTGCGAAGATGAGGCCCTTTGCGCCGGCCTCGATAGTACGATTGATGAGAGAATGAAGTTCTGCCCTGGGTGGCGTGATGGCCGCCTGCGCTGGTGCATAACAGAGGACGGTTTTGCCAGTGACATTGCTCAATGATAGTGATTCTGTGTCGCAGCTGCGCAAAAGTTTAAAATTTTAACATGGCTGTACAAAGCGCATGACATTTACTATCGATCAAGTGTCATCAAGCGACTGGTTTCTTTCACTACCTCTGCACATGAACAAGGTCCTGAAAGCCGCTGTTGTTCATAGCTGCGTTGTAGTTTAGAGATTGCCCCTGCGTTTCAAATCAATCACAGATTAATGAGCAAGTTAATTCAGGAATACATCATGCTTGGTTGATGCTACATTTTAAGTTAATAAAAGTGTCCTTTATCGAAAAAGGAAGGCTTGTGCAGGATATGATATAGTTGGCCGGCCAGAGAAAAAGGAATCCAGCTCGCATATATATACTGAAAGAATTATAAGGAAGCTTAAAGGAGGAGCTAAACATTTTATTTTGAGTTTGATCATCTTCTTAGTGTGCGCGCGTATGAAAGCTTATGTTCGTGAGTTTGTGTACGCTAGAGGGCAACAGCAACTTGACCAATCATATTGATCCTACCATATCGGGTTTGGAGTACGTCTATTAATATTTAAAAAAATCACTTGTTTTTTCTATTAATATTTTCGCTGGGATCTTTATCCCTTGAGAATAGGCATGAAGACAACACTTTGCTATAACATTTCTCAGCAGATGACAAAAAATGAAAAATAATGTACACATACATCTAAAATAAAGGAGAGATCGGTACGTACCACGAGCTTTTCTTTGTTTCCCAGCGATATCAAGGTCGGGAAAGACCGGTCAATCGTGCTAGCGGCCACCGTCGTAACCCACGGCAGGGCATTACCCACAGTTTGCGGCACAGGTCCATCGTTCCCTCCACTGAACACAACAGAGATCCCTCTTTGCACAGCATGGAGCGTCCCAGGGAACTGCTGACCAGCCCCTCCAATCGAGAGCGACAAGACGTCCACACCGTCGTGTATGGCATCATCAACAGCCGCAAGGACAGCCGCACCAGAGCAACTCCCGCCCACCCAGCACGCCTTGTAGATACTAAGCCGCGCACGTGGTGCCCCGCCTCGTGCCGTGCCCATGCCCAGTCCTCCATAGCTCACGCCCTGCACTTCCCCGCCGGCGATAGTTGAGGCGACGTGCGTGCCATGGCCGTTGTTGTCCCGAGCCGATTTGTAGTCGCCCTTTAGCAACTCAGCGCTGATGCCTCTGCCATACCACCGTGCACCAATGATCTTTTTGTTGCAACTTGTGGCGTTGAACTCCTCGCCAGTCTCGCATTTCCCTTTCCACCGTGCCGGCACAGGGCCATAACCGTTGTCGTCAAAGCTTCGTGATTCAGGCCATATGCCTACAAAGAAGCATGCATATTCATGGGCATGGATTGATTCGGTATTGGGATTCCTCATATTTAGGATTTAACCTTTCTTTGTATCATTTAGTTAAAAAATCAATGCAAAATACGCAGTAGAGTCCTGCTGTATCCCTCAAAAATATATTTAATATTTAAGCTTGAGGGTGGGGTGGCTGTGTGCATCATATGATGGAGAGGCCGCAATTATCCCTTTTCGGAAAAAAAGCTTGAGGGTGGGATTGCGAACCTGTATCGATCACACCCACGATGACATCTTCACCGTACTTTGCTTTTCTGAGTAGTCCCGGCTGTTGTGCTGGTTGGTTATGGTCAAGGCCAAGAAAGTCCCAACTCCGAGTTGTGTGTGTTTCGTGAAAAATGTTAGGCTCCACAGTGGCAACTTCAGGGAATTCTACATTCAAAATATGCTGATTAATTCAAGTTGGTCATGCAAGTAGATACGGCGATAGCTAGGACTGACAATTACTTACTTGCAATTGCCTCAGCCTGAGACTCAGTGAGCATCGCTGCGAAACCAGAAAATCCATGCTTGTAACTGTAAACTATCGACCTCAAGGCTTCATCCTTGCTGTTGCCAAATAAAATGAGGGTGAGAAAATCACGACTAAATGACTAATGCGTTTACGATGCAACATTAACTCCTCGTTGTTTTTTGCTTTGAACAAATGAATTTGTAGCTAGTTATAGTACCTCCCAAAAACAGAGGTTAGCATGTCATGGTGAGACGCGGTGACCATGGACGGGTCATCGTGCTTCTTCTCCCCCATATACACGATGTAGAGCTGAAATTCATTTTGCCGCGTAAGTTTTCAACAACAACAAAAAATAGTATCTGAGAAATTAGAGCCAATCCGGAAAGAAAGCAAATTGAAAGAGGGGCCTCGCCGCCTCGGGTGTGTATCTTACTTTGCTCGACGCGCTAGCTGAAAGAGGCAGCAGTGTCACGAGCAGTAGCAAAGCGCCGCAGAATGCTGTTCTGGAATCCATATCTATGTTCTTGTGTTTGTGTTCCCTCGTTAGGTTTGTATGTTTATATAGCAGTCAGGAGCGATAACCATGGGGGTGCAAGAACAGTTCAAACCAATTTGTTTTGCGCGTTGTTTTTTCTCCTTCGGGGCGGATTCTTTCCATATGTTGTTAGGTGACAGTGACACACGCGTGAGAAAGAAAGACTAGATCCTTGTCTATATACCAAGCACCGCCACCGCGTGCTTTTTCTAATGAGGAAGAAGCACCATGCTTAATTTGATCAGGTCCTGGCGGCTATTAGCACCAAACTGGATATATAGATATTAATTAATTATGATCTTTGATGTACTAGTGACCCTTTTTTTGACTGGTCTGATGTAATGACCTGATCGTCTTTGCACATGCGTCTTAATCGTTCCACATATGTCTTAATTGTTCTAAAAGCGCGGCGGTAGGTAATACGTAACAAAGTTGACAAACGTGACACATTCAAATATTCCATGGGTACGTAAGGGATAATGACCCGCCAACTTTCCTGTTATCGCATGTACTCAAAGATGTAACTTTGCCTGTTTTCAAATAAAGTGCCAAGTGACTTTTTCTTCAAAAAAATATTTACACCATGGGCAGATTGGTTTTACTGATTCGTTTCTCAAGCTGTTAAAATTATATAAATCCGGTAATTCGAGCCGACATGATGTGTTGTGGTCACCTTTTTAGATAGAAGGCGATTGCCCGACCTTAGAATAAGACCCTTAAGGTCGCAACAAAGCAAGGTTCTAAGAAGCTGCAAAGCAGAAGAGCGGAAAAACAAAAAGTTTGATACAAGGCCCACAATGAGCCATCATGTGATGCAGTGCAAGTGAACCAATAACAATCAATTATTTCGAGCCGTGGTGTGGTGACTTCTGTGAGCCCGTCTCTCGACTTTCTTTTCTTTTATGTTCTTAGCAAGAAAATGATGTCAGTGCCAATTAGGTCCGAAGATTATAGGCAAGCCTACCTCCCAGGTCATGGTGGCGATTCAAGGATAACAACTGGTGGAAACAGTAGCGGTAAGGGTGTATCAGAATGATGCGGCTAGACATATTCGCGTAGGAGTATGTGCTTTGTTGTGGGCAATTTGGAACTGCAGAAATGATTTGGCTTTTAACAGAACAACAAATATTCATTTTTTGCAGGTTTTATTCCAAGCTACTGCGCTGATCCGTACGTATTCCGACGGAGGCCAGAGAGCGTTTGGTTACTGGATCTGTCCGGTGGGAGATGGTAGCGCGGGATATCTTCAACCGGTTTGGATGGCGGTCATGTAATAGAATAGGCGATTAGTTTACCTATCTTTGTTATGCCAGCCGGTTGTGGCTTTTGGGCCTTTTGTTTTTGGCGTTGTGGCTCTTTGTGAGCTTGCCGTTATTTTGCTTTCAGACTATAAGACCTTGTTGAACCTATTTATTTATTTATAAATGTTGCCGTATGCATCGTTCTGATGCAGAGGCAAATCAGAATGATGCAGCTAGAAAAGGTGGCCCACACATTGACACGTATAGCATTATCATGCAGTTGTCTCTCTGGGTTTAGTGACCTCATCTTGGTTGCGAGATTTGATCTGGTGAGGCATCTTAGTCCGATGGTTGTATCCCCCCACCGTGGAGCACGTCCAGTCTTTCTACAAATGCATTCACTGTGGATACACGTCGGACTTGGGCAGTTATTAATGTGTGAGACAAATCCTAACTGCTAATGTGTGAAACAAAACTCAACTGCTTATGAGGTCGGGTGTTTTTGTGGTTCTCGCATGTCTTTTTTTTCTTTCAAGCATGCCAACTTATACATATTTTCCCTTCCTTATGAAAAGACAGCGTTATGCCACTTGCTTGGAAAAACATTCAATACTCCCAAATTGCTATATGTATTTAGGCTGACGCTGAAGGTAAGCATGTATTACCATAATTGTCATGTGTTTCATTACTTTTTACCCGGCTAAGAACCATGTATAGAGGAGTAGAATCACATGACATTGGGTGGTGGGGACAAAGAAATGAGAAACTGTGAAAATAAGGATGTTGAATTCTGGACCCCAGGAACACCGATGAATGAAAATCACGATAGTACAAAGGAATTGTGCAAAATCTGATAACAATGTAAACATAAGTTAACTTCCGTGTAGTAACACGAGCATTTTAGACATTAGCAGCCATCCATGAATTCAATGATATTCTCCTAGCAAAGAAAATTCAATTGTGTTCATTTCTTTTCACTTCCGGTTCAACAACCTTTTCATTGAGACAGAAAGGTTTGTGAGCTTTAGATCCGTCATTGAGCCTTAGTCTAGTTCATGTCAATGATATATATGATCTGAGATTTTCTTATTAATTGCAATTTTGTACAAGTTTGTGAAGAAACCATCCCTTTACAAAGAAGAATCATATTGTTTCTGTATAAAAAATATATTTATTACATACAAATTTGATACTGAGTGTTTCTCCTACATTGTTTATGCGACCTACATGAATACACAAAGGTGTACAATAACTAGATATAAGTTTAAGCTGTATCTGCAACAAAGTCTTGTATCACAGTCCGTATCGCAATAGGAATTCTCACTGAGTGGGTACTTCCGTTTGGCCATGTCAAGCTCCCGAAAGTGTATCCTCCTTGTACTCTCTGCCTTGTTGTGAATGTCACCATAAACGCCGCCATTTTACTACTGCTTTGGGTGAAATTGATCACAGATTGCTCCACGGACACATCTATCCCCGCCGGAGCTTCAACCACTAAGTGATATGTTGCTTCCACTGGCCCAACATTAGTCACAGTGCGCCGAAGCATGACACGGCCCTTGAGGTTCGGCACAACAATTGACGGAAGGTTGAGATTGAGGTAGTAGGCCTCACAACCGTCTACATATCCAAGGGTGCAGTTGAAAAACTTGTTGTACTCCCTTGCATCCACATCATAAACCAAGCTAGGGTCAACGGCTCTATCAGGGTCAATGTGTCCACCACTAAAGTCGAAGGGGTCGACAAGTTTCCTTGGGACTGCTTCTGCTTGGATTGGCATGCCAAAACGATCGGTCACAGATGCTTCAACCAATGACAAGGAGAAATCAAGTCAGTAATATATTCTAAAGACTAGTTTTGATAAATTTTTAGTATTTCAATATATGTACCTATGGTGACGATGGCAGACTTGATCATGGCAGGTGACCAGTCAGGATGAACCGACTTGAGCAGTGTGGTCACCGCGGAGACATGCGGGCACGCCATGGATGTCCCAGAACTGAACACGTAGGAGTCGCCCTCTGCTGCCAAGCTACTGACGCGAGGTGCAGCAATGTCGGGCTGTTCAAGCATGTGTACCAAGAATTATATATGCATGTCTTCTGTTCTAGAAAACTAGAGAGGCTATAGGTAAAAACGATTAATGGCAACAACACTCTCAAGTTAGGAATTTGAGAATAATATGTACCTTGAGTATGCTAGGGAACAACAGGCTTGGACCTCTCGATGAGAACGAGGCGACCCTCGGCGACAACACCCCTTTTCCGACAACGGTCATGGCAGGTGACACCTTGACCACCGCATTACTAGCACGACACATGACAATGACATGAGTTTCCGGAGAACAAGAAAACCCATTCACTCTGTTTCGGACAACACGACAGGCACTCACCCTTTGTCCGACCTCGAATAGGAGGCAATCCGGTGTGCGATCTCAAAATCCACCACTACACAGAGCATAATGCCCTTACACAAAGGCAGGAAGTCGAGGAGGTTAGTAGTGTACTGTGCAAATATGAGTCCCTTGGCGCCAGCCATGATGGTGAGATTGATGGCTATGGGAAGTGCTTGTGGAGGCGGCATACTATTCGCGGCTGCCGGTTGATAGCACAGGATGATTTTACCAGTGACGTTGCTCAATGCCAGTGAAGATTCGGTGTCACAGCTGTGCAGAAGTTTTAATTCAGTATAATTGACAAAATCACCGAAACGTGGTTAAAAAAGTGGACAACTACAAAAAATTCGTCAAGTGATCACAGTTCAAGAAGTACAAAAGTTTTATTTCATTACCTCCCGGCATTAACAAGGCCTTTAAAGTCAGCGTGCATGTACCACCAGCTTTTATTTGTTTCCGAGCGATATCAAGGTCGGGAAAGACCGGTCAATCGTGCTAGCGGCCACTGTGGTAAACGATTGTAAGGGTATTGGATACTGTTTGCGGCACAGGGCCATCATCCATTCCGGCAAACACGACAGAGATCCCTCTTTGCACAGCATGCAGCGTACCGGGTAACTCGTGACCAGCCCCTCCAAGCGAGAGTGACAAGATGTCAACACCGTCATATATGGCGTCATCGATAGCCGCGAGGACTGCTGCTTCAGGGAAATTCCCACCCAACCAACAAACCTTGTAGATACTGAGCCGTGCACGTGGCGACCCGCCGCATTCCACGCCCATGCCTAGGCCTCCGTAGCTCACGCCCTACACTTCCCCGCTGGCGACGGTCGAGGCGACGTGCGTGCCATAGCCATCAATGTCCCTAGGTGACTTGTAGTTGTTATTTAGCACCTCGTCACTGATCCCGAGACCATACCAGCGCGCACCAATGATCTTTCTGTTGCAACTTGTGGCGTTGAAATCCTGACCAGTCTGGCATTTCCCTTGCCACCGTGCCGGCACAGGGCCATACCCATTGTCATCAAAGCTTCGTGATAAAGGCATATGCCTATAAAGAAGCATGCATATTCATGGGCATGAATTGATTTGGTATTGGGATTCCTCATATTCATGGGCACTACCTGAAGAAGCAGCTGAACCGCCAGCATAACTGGCAATGGAAATTCAATTTCGTCGACAAGATGAACAAGTTTCTACTCTACTAGAGCACACAGAATAAATGCAACGGCAAATTGGAGAGATGCATCAAGTTCTCTTTTCTCAAGGAATCAGAAATGTGGAAACACCAGATATTATTCTTGTCACCTTTTTTCCATGAGATGACACTGCTATGTTTCTGT